CCCACTTCTCCACCGGGGCTCCCACTGTGAAGTAGAACAGAAAGCAGCAGTAGCATCGAATTGGACGTTGCATGATCGTTAGCAATGATAGCTCAAGTACTAGACGGTCAGTGTGGTGTGGGCACTAACAAATCAGGGTGGACCCAGACCAGGAGGCTGTCCCAGGTTCCGGAAACTCTGCCATGCCAGCCATGAACTTCTTAGGTGTCGGATCATGGGACATCTGAGTGGTCCGGGGGATTGCCCGGGGCACCAGTGGGTAGTGACTGAATGATACAGAGGGAGTATTCACTACATGCTATGGAAATACTTAAGGAAGCCCAGTGGTACAGCAGGTGATGCATTGGGCTGCTAACCACAAAATCAGTGGTTCAAACCCAACAGGTTGCCTGCTCCTGAAAAGATTAATAATCTCGGAGACCCTGGGAGTAGCTCTACTCCCCCCCAGTGGGTCACCGTGGGTTAGAATGGAACAGGCAGCAGTGAGAATGGGCTATGGAACTATTTTTTTTAAAACAGTGTATGGTTAGTGAATATCTAGTCCTAGTTACAGTCTTGAGTTTTATTCCTGGGGGTCATAAGTTAAAGAGGAGATCAAGGATTTGAGACTCACTTAATTGCTTCCATACTCATGAGGTTTCCAGTGATTTTGTCACACGCAATGAAAATGTCCCACCCTTTGTTCTTCATTTAAGAAGCCCTGGTGGCACTGTTGGGTAAGCATTGGTTGCTGACTACAAGGTTGGCAGTTCAAACCCACCAGCCACTCCATCGGGGAAAGATGAGACTCTCTGCTCCTGTAAAGATTTACAGCCGGCGATTTCCCTGACCTAACTTCTTGGGCCGCGGAACCCGCCCGGGAGCTCAAGATGCGCCTGCCCCTTTCTCTGCTCTCCCTTCCCTCCCGGGAGTTCTTTCCCTCAATACAATCTTTCTTAACTTCACATTCCTGGCTAAATTCTATCTCCATTCTGTGCCTCCAGTTTCCACCTCTCAAGAAGTTTGAAACAAAAGAATAATAAAATCATGTTTATGCCTAACAGGACACAACTATAATATATACACTTGAAAATGTGCCAGCCCCATTAAACATATATATATATTTACAGCCTCCAAAACCCTGTATAGGGCTGCTACAAGTCACAGTGGACTTGATGGCCGTGAGAGGGCTGAGGGTGGTGTGTCTGTATCCGTTGAATTTTGTACCTCAGGTGGCACACACTACTAGGTTTTAGATCTGGTTATGTCTCTATTCTTCCCAGACTGTAACATCTGGAAGGAGGACACTGTGTGCCCAGCACAGGGTTTGGCTTCTGATAGGTGTTGAATGACACCAAATTCTGAAAGAGACCAAGAAACATTTACAGGCCTTTCAAAGTCCACGACTCTGCTTCCTCATGTCTGATTTCAATTTAAATGAACCGTTTCCTTTTCTCTGATTAAAGGGTATCGCCAGCCCCGCTGTTAAGTCTGTCAGAAACACGTAGGCCACATTTTGGCATACAGGAGTTTTCCATTTCTTTTTAAATTTCCTGTCGG